AATAGCTCTGCGACCGGCAGTAACCCCGGCGAGAAGGGTGGGGAGGGCGGCTCTGCCTCTCCATTCACGTTTGCTGCGCGAGCCAGGCCCAGACAGGCAAGCCCTTGAGCGGAGGGGGCTGGGCTGGCCCAGGCGAGAGGTGGTGTCTTTGCTGATCTTAAGCTTGAGCCGAGAGTGAAACACCCACTCGTAGGTCTGAGCCAGGGCTGGCAGCTTCCACACACAGCTGCTTCCTTCCTGCACTTAGCTCTGACGATTTAAGAGGGTTTAATGGCATGTTCTGTGTGAGGACGGGGGTGCTGGAGGGTGCTCGGAGGGCGGTTTTATGGGCTGACAGTAATGGCTGTGGTGGGTGTGCCACAGGGAGACGGGGCCTGTCCTGCCTGTTCCCCGCCGCGGAATCCTATTTGTGGAAAAGGCAGGAGGGAGGCAGGGTGTGAGGCCAGAGGGTTCCTGCTGCTTCTTTCTACTGGAGGCGCCACTTCTATCCTCTACACCGAGGGCTGTGGAAGTAGGGAGGAGGAAAACAAATGGGTGCAAGTTAAAAATAAAGGATGACCTTCACCCACGGTTGGTGGGAATGTAAAATGCAGCAGCCCCTGTAGAAAAGTTGGGTGGTTCCACAACAAGTTAAACATAGAGTTGCCACATGACCCAGCAACCCCTCTCCTAGCTATCCATCCACATGAATTGAAAACATACTCAAGTACACACCAGTGTCCATAGCAACACTATTCGTAACAGCCAAAAGGTGGAAACAACTCAAATATTCATCAACAGGTGAAGAGAGAAACCAATCGTGTTATATGCATACAATAGAATATTATTCGGCAATAAAAGGGAAAGAAGCGCCCTGACCGGTTTGGCTCAGTGGATAGAGCATCGGCCTGCAGACTGAAGGGTTCCTGGTCGATTCCAGGCAAGGGCATGTACCTTGGTTGCGGGCACATCCCCAGTAGGGGGTGTGCAGGAGGCAGTTGATCGATGTTTCTCTCTCATCTATGTTTCTAACTCTCTATCCCTCTCCCTTCCTCTCTGTAAAAAAATCAATAAAACATTTTTATTTTAAAAGGGAAAGAAGTACTGATACATGCTAAAATGTGGATGAAGCTCCAAAGCATTATGTTGAGAAGAGGAAGCAGACACAGAAGGTCATGTGTTCTAGGGTTCATTTATATAAACTACCCCTGAATAGGTAAATCCATAGAGATAGAAAGCAGACTGGTGGTTGCCAGGGCCTGGGAGAAAAGTAGGAAATGGAGAGTGACTGTTTAACAAGTACAAAGTCTTCCTTTGGGGTAAGGAAAAGGTTTTGGGGCTAGATAGAGGTCGTGGTTGCAGAACATTGGTGAGTGAACTTAAATGTCACTTTAAAATGGTTAATTTTCTGTGGTGTAAATTTTACTTCAATTTTTATATATAACACGAAAAGACCGAAGGGGGAAACCTTGCCGCTGTCCAGAATTCTCTTAGGAAGGAGTAGAACTACAGTAATGAGAAATTCTGAGCCCTCCCCACCCTTTCACTTTCACTTTCTTCTCATTGCTCATTTGCTGTCGTTGAGCACAAACTCTAAAGCCTGGCATGGCCCTGGCTACTCACTGCTCCTATGGGAAATGGCCAGAGGGGAGAGGACCTCTTTGGCCCCTCTGAGGCCATCGCAGCCGGGCCCAGAACCGTGGTGAGTCAGCACAGCAGACACTTGGCCTTTGTGAGCTCACTCTGGCTGGGCAGGACTGGATGGGGGAGGGACAGGCCTGGGTCCTGAAAAGGGGCAGGCTCTGCCTCACAGCCCCACTACAGAACCTCCGCTCCTGGGAGCCTGCAATTAAGGCCTGTGGCATTTGCCCCAAAGTCAGTACACAAGAATCAGCTCTTTGCCTGCAGCATAGAAAGTTAACTACAGGTCACCGCTACCGCACCCTGTGACATTTCGCACAGTTTGGCAGAGAGAATTTAAAACAAGAGATCTTTCAATAATTTTTATCAAGCACTGGTTGTTTAGATGCAGGAGACGTTTCTAAAGAAAAAGATGCCCTGAAGGATCTCTAAACCTGACAGCAGGGTGGAGTATTGTTTGGAAAAGTAGAGGAAATGTCAAGTATGGTTCTACGGTGTGAGAGGAGAGCCTAAAACTCTGGTGTGGTTGAATGTTAAAATGGGTAATCAGGTTTTGCAAGTTGGGTTCTTCCAGAACAGAGGCCACTTCTGAAGTTTAACCTTGCATAAATTAAGCTCCCTGCCATTACAACCAGGCTTTGCCTGAGTATAATTAAATATCACCAGGCATCTACCTGAATATATGAGGGATTATGCATACTGGGCTATCTAGTTTGTCATCTATTCCACACCCAATATAGAGTCCCTAAAGACAGTTCTCTCTCACGGCTTACTTTCTCTCCAAGTAAACTCAGTTATCTCACCAATAAAATTGGGTTAATACTATCACCTGCTTCTGATACAGTGCGATAAGGCACTGCCAAGCACGCCGTACAATGCCTGGCTATGGTAGGTGTTACTATCACTGTGTCCACAGGTCTGCTGCACTCAGAACTTGGATTTTTCTACATTGAAAGGTTGTTAGATCTGTGTTTATGCAGTGGCCTCAATCCCTTTAACTAATGTAGAATTTGGTAAAGAAAGACTATCATCCCAGACTCTCTAGTTTATAACAGCGTGCCTTTTCTCATGTGGCCGATACCTGTCTCCTTGTAGTTTGAGAGTAGAAACCGCGTCACTATATAAGAAAACATGGAGTGCTCCTTGATTAGATTGGGTTTGAATCTTAGCTATTTGCAATTAGTGGTAAAAACATTAAACACATGGAATTTTTTTCTCATACTTTTTATTGAGATGTATTTCATATCCCATAAAATTACCCTTTAAAGCAGGGGTGGGGAACCTCCGGCCCGCAGGGCATATAAGGCCTGCGAAATCATTTGGTCCGGCTCTGCCAAGACATTAGGGGTGAGTTAATTAAATGTTTGACCAAATATAGCAGGCTAATTTTTAAGCTGATAATTTAGTGTGGCCCAAGAATGATGCTATAAATATTCAATATACCATTCTTATGTACTTCTTTTATTAGATTTATTTCTATCCACCTATTCTTTTTGATGCTATAAATGGAATTCTTTTAACTTTATTTGCATAGTATTTATTTTTAGTTCATATAAATACAATTGATTTTTGTATATTGATCTTGTACCCTGCAACTTTATTGAACTTGTTCTAATAGTTTTAATAGTTTAATAGTTAGTTCCAATAGTTTTTTTGTGAGGATTCTCTAGGGTTTTTCTTTTTTTTTTTTTAAACATATTTTATTGATTTTTTTACAGAGAGGAAGGGAGAGAGAGAGAGAGTTAGAAACATCAATGAGAGAGAAACATCGACCAGCTGCCTCCTGCACATCTCCCACTGGGGATGTGCCCGCAACCTAAGTACATGCCCTTGACCGGAATCGAACCTGGGACCCTTCAGTCCGCAGGCTGACGCTCTATCCATTGAGCCAAACCGGTTTCGGCACTCTAGGGTTTTTCAATATACAAAATCATGTCTTCTGCATGCAGTCATCGTTTTACTTCTTCCTTTTCAAACTGGATGTCTTTTATGTCTTTTCATGCCCTGGCAGGTTTTTTTTTTTGGAACTATCTTGGTTTTTCCTCTAGGAAAAACTGGTGGCCATTGGGCATCAGAAATTTGATTCCTGTGCTCTTCCCCATTATTTTCTTACATTATTTTTGTTCTTTGTCCCATGATTAAATCTTGATTATTAAATAGAGCCTTAACCTCTTCACACACCCATACAGAACACGTCAAGAACAAGAATCCACTGCTCCGCCCCCACGTGCTATTTTACAATTCGCCCTTAAAGTTAAACTCATACTCGTTTCTCTTTCCCTCTCAATCTTGAACTCAGCTGAACATATTAATCAAGTTTTAAGAATTCTTCCCTTTTCTTCTTTCTTGGAACTTTTGCATATAGGGATAAAAAGACAGCTCCAGGGTGAAATAACAAACATGAGATACAGGACGTCTGCAGAAAGCGTAGCAGTCTGCTTAACCAGAGGGAGGACAGCCGGGTATAAAACAGGAGGAAATGAAAAGTAGCAGAGCTTCGTGGGGATAAATTATTTTAACTTGGATGCAGGTTAGTGGGAAATAAAAACACTTGGAAGGAATAGCGCGATTATAGAACTGGAAAAAAAAAAAAAAAAAAAAGTCCAGCCTGAAACATTTTAAGCAAAACAGGGAAAGGGGTGGAAAGCCAGATACTGATGAAGAAAACGCCACCATCAACTTAAGGCCTGGCAAGACCTCAGTGAATACAGATTTGAGTTTGGATGCGTTGAATTAACCTGAGAGAATTTTGCAACCTTACATTAGAAAGGAGGAGGAGTTGGTTCTGGGAAACTCTTAGAAGCCCAAGTATTGGCTCCTGTTGGAGGATAGGGCTTCTTCCAATGGTAAAAAGTCAGCCTTCTCTTTTCCGCCTGAGGATTCAGATAAAGTGGTAAAAGTTAAAGCCTTTTCCACCGTGGGTTTGTCTGTCCTTTCTTCCTGCTGTTGTTAATCAGCACTTCCAGGAAGCCACTTTACTCCAGGGTTGACCACATTTTGGAGGAATGGCCTGGACACCTAGGCTGCCTGATAAAAACCTGCTTTTCCAGTGTTTTTCCTGCAGCTAACTTCCTCTTGGGCCCATGTGACCATGTGACACACAAGAGGCCTGGCTAGGGCCAAATGCCGGGGCTAAAGTGTCAGCTGGTATTAATGTGGTTGGTTTAATGGCAGCAGACTCCTGGTTTCCTGCTGCCAAGACTGAATTTAACCTAAAGTTACCCTTAGGAAAGACAGGGCGGGTTACTGGGGTATGAGTCAGTCATTGTAGCTTTTCCTTCTGTCTTACTCTTAAAGGTACAGGAACAGGATGGTGGACCCTAGAGATAAGTCCCAGGAGACTTTGAATCACACCCAAAAAACTCCCAGACACAGTGAAATCAGATTCGCGAAATTTTTATTATGAACAAACACAATGTTAGATAATACAACTAACTTCAGAGTTATTAATAGAAATTATTCCAAAATTATTCTTAGGTCACAAATAACTACTATCCCACATTTAAAAAAAAAAAAGGAAAAATCCCACCCAATCAAGGAACAGGTATCCCGTGTCTGTTTCCATGACAATGAGTTTATGCATTCTCAAATTTTGTCTGGCTAGTTATCTACCACTTATCCAATGGACTTATTCAATTTCTCAGAGAAAACCATATAGATTAATAATAGCATCTGGGACACATGGTTCATGGTGGACACAAATTCATGGTGGATACTGCTACTATAAAAATACTCAGGACTTAAGAGAATTTCTCTGCTGAAGGGTCCCAAAATGCTTTATACAAAGCATTAGTCACACCTCAAAACTGCCCTTTGAGGTAGGTCAGTATTATTACCCCCATTTTAACAGAAGGAAAACTGAGGCACATTATTATTAAGTGACTTGCCCAGGGTCACATAGCAAGTCAGTGGCACAGTGGTAGGAGAGGCCTCGGCCTTAACCACCTGGGTAACGTTGATATCTTGCTTTCTTTAACCTTTCATGCTGACCCATTTGAGCTAGACTTACAGAGAATACACTCAGGATACTAGAAAACCAAGGAGAAAAAGATTCCATTTTAAATGCTACAAGCATCTTTTAATCTAAAAAAAAATTTTAAAAAAATCAAATACATTCAAATTACTTCCACCCTCCATCAAATGTGGGCACTTAAGAAACACAGACCTAAAAACAGTTTCCAAAATGAAGCCCAGGGGGGAATCCTGCACACAGCTAACTCTCCAGCCAGGCCCCCCTTCCACCAGCCACTCTGCAGGCTCTCAGGTGCAGAGGAGCTCCACAGAGGAGCACGGAGGGGGGGAGAGCAGGCTCATAGGCAACACTGATTAGAAAACATGTAAGGCACCCAAATAAGTTGTCAGCACACCCACAAAGCAAGGACTGTTAGAAATTCACACTTGATCAGATCCGGATTTCTGGATCATTAATGCATTATTTGAATTCAGCTTTAGAGTCTTGAGAAGTGTTCCTTATTCAGCAGAGATGCCCCCGACCCCACCCACACACCCACATATACACTGGGGCCCTCAGCCTGAGGACCCCGATCAGCCTTGTGCAGGTAGGGTCATGGTGTGGGATCAGATCCATGGAACGTGATTAGAATAGAAAGATAAAGTTGTTTTTGATCATAAATTATAAAGCAGGCATCTGGTGACCTGTGGAGTTAAAACTATCCAATAGACATTTCCCAGGGGTAGGTGCACAGGTCAGCAGATGGAAACTACAGTGATCTTCCACGAGATTCTTTTCTACTGAGAGGAACAGCTCAAAAGACAAAGATGCCTTTAGACCAGGCTTACCCCTGTAGCCTCTCTCTACTCAGTAAATACAAAAGGAAAGGCCCTCCTCCCTTCCACCATTCGGTTTCAGCAGTGCACTGAGCATTTGGTATCATACATTTCCAATCCTGACAGAGAAAAGCCAGGCTTCTGCGTTGACAAACGGAGGTACAGGGACAGGAGTGGTCCAAGGTTCTCAAAACACTGAAATTTTTACTTTTTCCAGAGCTCTTCTACACTATTGTCTACCCTAGGCTGTGTTGTGGGGAACGCTGGTTAGTTTGCTGAACAGAGACGCTGTTCAGCAAAGTTCATGGCATCTCAGATCCCGCGTCCCAGCCAAAGCTCTGCAATGTACCCTGGCTCCAGAGAATGAACAGGGCCTTCTTTCAAGTGAGGCACTTTGGAACTTGCCTTTGTTTCTTGTGCTTCCCAGTGAAGACTAGGCTCCCTCCTACTTCTACCAGCGCTGCAGTCAGCTGGGAGCACGGACTAAAGCTGGGCAGGGTAAATAAGCAAGCAGGGGGCGTCCAGTATGTTCTCTGGTTCTGACCCAGACAGAGGAGACTGAAAACAAACTCTCTTTTGCTCCAGGGCTGGCTCCCTGGCATGATGCAAGCATTTGCCTTGGCTGCGCCTCATGAGAGAGCACGCCTGCGCCAGGGATGTTTCTGGGAAGGTTTGCCAGCCTGGTCTTGAGTCATCAGTGTGGGTGGAGAGACTCTGGAGGCAGGTGGAAGTGGCAACGAGGGCAACCTTATAAAGAGGAACAGTGGTTCAGTGACCCTGAGCATCCTGTCTGCCTGGACAGCAATAGCCATCACTGCCTCTGAATACACAAAGGCAGCTGCCTGTCCAGAGAAAAAAGAAAACATCAGGGGAGAGGCAGAACCGGTAGGAGAAATGGACAGATTGGGTCGAGCCAGGAACCGATAATCAGGGTGAAGACTTCTACTTGCCCCCAGGCAGTCCTATACTTTAGGCTAGATCAGCGATTTTCAACCGTTGTGCCACAGGCATTTTTAAAACATGCAACACCTGCCTATGTAGTCAGGAGCACTGACCTCTTTTTCCTTAGATTGTCAAATAAAAAAATGACAACAGCCAACACAACAGTAGCCGTCTGGTGTGAATCACTCAAAAGTATACCTTTTTTTTGTTGTTAGATTGGCAAAAAATATTTTTTGGTGTGCTGCAGAATTTTAGTCATTAGTTTATGTGTGCCATGAGATAAAAAAGATTGAAAATCACTGGGCTACCTGTTAACAGAAGAAATGAGTGAAATAGTCTGACACTATGGCGAAAAGCCTTCTAGTTTTTATTTATTCCAAGGAGAAATGGGAGTCAATGAATGAACCTAACAACTAACTTATTTGGATAACCAGCTTTCCTATTATGACACCCAGGAATTTACTTAGTAAGCTTCTGAATCCAAATCCCCAGATAATGCATTCTCAAAGTCCTTCTTCTGTAAAATAATCTCTCAGGAGCTGCCACAGACCCTGTTCTTCAACCTCTCCAACCCCTGTCCTCTTCTTCAAGCATCCCTCTTTCAGAGGGAAATACTCTGAGTGAATTATTTAATATTCTAAGCAAAGTATATCTGTATATATATATGTATCTGTTTGACCTACCTTCTAAAATCCTTCCTTTTTGGAATGCTCACCATTATACCACCAATACATTCCTTTTTTGGATGTCTGGAAATGCTGCCGCTACCTTGTTACTGAGTAGAGCTGACCAATATCCCAAGGGTCAGAGGGCAAAGCAGAAAGATGAAGGAATTTGGATAATTCCATGAATTGCTGGATTCATCAATTCTGGAAACAACCAACCTCAAGACTTTCTGATATATGAAATAAGAAATTTTCCTGTTATTAAAGGAAAAAGACCTCCATTGAAGATCATTTGTATTACAAACTAAATGCTTCTTCTTTATCTCTAGCCTAGAGTCTACTGGGACCTAGGATTTGCTTCTGTGGTCTTGCATTGCCAAGCTCCATGGCCATTCCCTACTCACAGTCAGGAGAGAAAGGAAGCATGCTGGGTGGTGGGGCTCAGTGTCCGCAGGAGGCAGGCAGCTGTATGTTTGGTCACATCAGGAGCATCTTCTTGCTTTGTTTCCCACCTTACGTACCATGCATGCTAACTCTCTCCCCTGACAATTTACCTGCTTTAGAAGCTTTGTGCTAAATAAAGTTGTTTTTCCATTCCATCTAGCAAAAGTCTGAAATGAAAATAACTAATAGGGTCTTCCCAGAAGATGTTGTCAAATCTCTAGCTTGAGCCACCTACCTTGAAGCTCAGAACATCTCAAGGAAAGAGTTATCTGGGGCAAAACCACTAGTTTTGGATGATAGAAAGGTCGTCTAGACTTCAGAAGCTAGACACCCACCAATGAATGCCTCACCAGCTGCTTGTCTGGGAGGCAATGAGGGAGAAGAGAAAGGAAGGTGACAGGAAAAAAGCAAAGAAAAGGACAATGGGTCTAGAAGACAGGGAAGAAAAGAGAAGAAAGAAGAATATCAGCTTAGCATCATGAAGGCAGAGTTGTTGGCTTTCAATACTTTTGAATTTTAAAAGAATACTGGAATGGGTTAACCTCATCTTTAGCATTCTGGTAGCATTTTCAGTAGTTAATAAAAAGAACATTAAAACTCTGCCTGGCTGGCTTTTGGAAAGGAGAGCGGAGGACCCAAACTCAGCCACTCTTGTAGCTTCCATCTCCAGTTCTTTTAATCTTGGCCAAGACGGCCGCCTTGGATACTTTCTTCCGGTCGTAAGCCAGACCAAGGGCAGCCATGCAATCGATGAAGAATGTGGTCAGGTTGATGTGCCAGCGGTACTCACTGGTGGAGTAGTCATAGGGGAAGGAGTGATGGTAGTTGTGGAAGCCCTCACCTGAAACAAAGAACAACGAAAAAAGTTATGGCACTCTACGGTGAATGGCTGTCTTCCTGATCTTGGAACATCAGTTACCTAGCAGAGTACCTGAAACCTAGCAGATACTGGCTGTTGTTGAATGAATGAATGAAACTGGTCTCTTCTACTCTGAACCAAATAGATCCACTCAGAGGCTTCTTAAGAAACACATGGGGAGCCCTGGCCAGTGTTTCTCAGTGGTTAGAGCATCCATCCTCGCATCAACGGGTCTCAGGTTCCATGCCCAGTCAAGGGCATGTACCTGGATTGCAGGTTCGATCTCCCTGCTGCAGCGGGAGGCAACCAATCAATGTGTCTCTCTCACATCGATGTTTCTTTCTGTCTCTACCTCTCTTCCTCCTCCCCTCCCTTCCACTCTCTCTAAAATCAATGGGGAAATATCCTTGGTGAGGATTTAAAAAAAAAAAAAAAAAGAAAGAAATGAATAGGGAGACCTTGGTCACCCATGGCTTTCTGGGAGCTATTGTGCGAGGACAGTTTCTCTCAGAGGATAAGATGACTAAAAAGAGACTATCACTGGAAATGGATTTTAGAACGAAAAATCCCAGAGCTTCACTAAATACTGGTCTGGGATCTTCCAGGCTGTGTGTGTGTGTGTGTGTGTGTGTGTGTGTGTGTGTGTGTGTTAGGGTGGGAAGAGGAGAGAGTCTAGAATGAAGAACTTTTGCTGTGTTTCTTACAAAGGTGAGCAAGGGAGTACACCGGCACTGGAACTGCCTACACGCGTGTGAGAGAACAACAGAATTGGGCAGCAACAGCCGAAAGTCAGAAGAGAGGAGGCCCAGCCCAGGGGCTCGAGTGTCCTCGGCCACTACTAGCTTAGGAGACTCTGACTTCGAATTCTTTGAGCTTTGACCCTGGTGTGGTGGTGATGCAGAGAAAACAGAAGCTCTCTGAGGGAGTCAGAGACAAAATGCTTAGAAACTCCCTTTAACTTCTGAGATGAGATGGACGAAAAACAAAATTCTGGATTCAGGGTAATTTCTGTAATGGATAAAACTTTGGAAACTCCACAGAGAGTTCTCCAACCATTGGCAGAACTCTTTTTTCTGAGCCGCATTCAACAATAACAATACTGACCCTTCTGAGGCTGGGGTAAAGCCGGGTAAGTAATAGCTAGTAAAAGAGCATATCGAATCCTTTGAAGATAAAAGAACCTCAGTAGAGCCATAACGATATTAATAACGAGCAAGTAGAGGACGTCCTGCAAAGTAAATGACACCATCCAAGGCATCTCCAGGTGTGTCCTCCGTGACATGGGCTCTCTGTGACAGTGTGACCTGAGTAGGAGGATGGAATGAGAGGATTTCTCATTTCCATAAATGGCTTTGCACCAGGCTCTATATAAAGCACTAGCCAGGCCTACACTTATCAGATTGAAAACTGAATCAGACACACACATAGCCAAGTAGGGGGGTGGGGGTGGGAAAAGAAGGAGAGTCAATAGGGAGAAGAAGGACAAGACTTTGCAACTGGGGCAGCAAGATACAGCCCAAGAAAGGCTCCAGGGAGGTCAGCTTTGGCAGAGAGAAGATGAGCATGTGACTGTGGGGGAGGTAATTCAAGAAGAAAAGATTAGAAAGGCAGGAAGCGAGCTAGAGAACAAAAGGGGGGATGATAAGGGAGGAGAGCAGCAGGTACGGAGAAATAAATAACTGAGACAAAATAAGATATTGGGAGCCACTTTGTTTTTTTTGTGGGGGTTGTTTGTTTGGTTGTTTTTTTGCACAAAGGAGCCACTTGGAACTAATGGTCAGAAAGAGGCTGCAGTTAGGGAAGCTCACTCTAGACCCATCTGCAGTACAGGATAAATCTCATTCCAGAGACTTCCATTTCTATGAAAATCTCAGACTTATAGGGCCTAGGTGAATTATTTCAAATGTGGTCCAGAGTAAAAACATGCACAATGGTAGATGGTACCTGAAAGTTAAAAAGACTGAGGGAAAAAAATACTGTTTGAGTACAGACAGTACCTAGTGAAGATGGTCAGGGTTGAGACTATAAAGAGAAAAGGGTGAATTTAGGCCAGGATATGCATAAACACGTGGAACAGTGAGGTTGCCTAGTTATATTGTGTAACCAATAGTACTGATCAACGGTGAGGAACAAGAGGCCACTGGGCTTCCTTAAGGAAGGCTAATTCCAGGCCTTAGTGATGGTCTCTATTTAGCTGAAAACAGTGACAGAAAAAACAACAACTGGAGACAGATAGTAGAACTCTGGCTACTAGAACTCAAATTATAGAGAAATAACTCCATGAATAGCAAGCGTTAGATCAGCCAGCAGGCACCTGTGATTAAACTAACTGCTTTCTCAGGGGTTCCCTAGGCCATTCTTAGCACAGAATAAAGCAGAAGAGAGAAAAATCAAGGACAGGAGACGAGAATGGTGGGTGGCGGAGAAGGGCCACCCACAGTTGCCTTGATGCCCTTCCGATTGGCATCACCAGGCAATCAGGCATGGCATACCTAAATATCTAAATATAGCAAAAAGATATATAAAAGAGAAGCTTACTGAATCAAATTACAAGTATTAATTCTACATTGGATATGGCATATAGACCACTAGGCATATTGGCCACGCTGAGGGCCCTATCCTATTCATATCGATTTATACATTCCCTCCAGTCCAGCCCTGGAAAAAGGAAAACCCAAAGAGGCCCATTATATAATATATAACATTTGGGAATTGTTCCAGAACCCGGAGTCAAAGGCATTGTTTTATTTTACCTCTCCTTTCTATAGAAGACTTGTTGCCTGGCTCTCAAGAGTTTGCTAATATATTTTCCCTTAGTTCTAGGGGGGAAAACAGATAGAAAGTGGTCATAAAACAAGTTGATCGTGTTTTTCTGGTTCCCAGCCTAACACCCGAACAGCAGACCCCTAGATGTGGTCTGGCCGTGGACCGCTGACTTACCCACAGCTCCCAGTGAAACCAGGATGTTCTCCCGCGGGTTAATGTTCTTGTCGTAGGGGCGATATCCGTAGAGGTGGGCAGCGCTGTTCACCAGCCAGGTGGCATTGAGCACGATGGCGTACCGCAAGAAAGTGGCAACGTACAAGCTGTGCTGGAAGGTTTCACCCCAGAAATACCAGGGCACAAGCGTGGGCAGGACGAAGCACATCAGCAGGACAGCGGGCTTGTAATGCCTGCATTGAGAGACCAGACACGGAGTCAGGGGAGGACTTAGACCTACCTGATGCCCGTCATCGCTGGGCTGGGCTGTCTCTTTCCTTCCACAAAGTGAGGACAGCATGGCAGGGAACAGAGCAAGAGGAACGGGGTGGGAAATCCTGTGAGAAGGCAATGTCATTATCGCACTTTTTAGATGAGTTAATGAGGGGTTTAATGACTTTTCTAGGATTGCACCACAAGGAACCAGTGGAGCAAGGATTGGAATGCTGATCTCCTGATTCAAAAGTCCTTGCTCTCTCTCTCTTTTTTTTTTTACTATAGCATAATTTCATGTGGGTAAAATAGGCAAGGTCCAGATTACAAATGAATATACTGAGGTCTCCTGCCCAGGCTGTTTTTCCACTCTGTCTTTGGGTTCCTTTCTCTTTCCAGGCAATGTTCTTTGCAGAGTCCATGTTTAGTGCCTTGCCTCCATTTCCTGCCAGCCATCCTCTAACCATTCCTCTTCTTTTCCCACAGGATCTTTGATGCCTCCAGGTCTCCAGTCCTCTGAAGGTCCTGTCCCATTATTCAATCTCTCCTTGAAGGTAAGGAGACCTGGCCATTGACTTGATTTCCTGCGTCTCTTCTGCAGTCAAGCCTTATGCTCTGATATCATTGGTATTCCTGCACCAACTCCTTTCCATTCTTGCCACTGCTTCCCTAGCAAGGATCCTCACTGCCTCCTCACTTGTGACCCTGCTTCTCACCTCTTTGGCGCAATGGTTTCTTCACCTGTCATGAAAGTGATCTTTCTGAAGCACACCTCCAACCATCACAGATTCCCAATCAAAAAACTTATAATGGTCTCCCATTGCCTATCAAATTAAATCCGAAGTCTGCTTGTAATGGCACCAGTCTCCCTCTCTAGTCTTAATCCTACCACACCCTATACTTCAAGCAAAAGGACTCTGTTGCTAGAACATACTTCAGGTTTAGATCATTCTGTTCTGTTTGTACTGTTTGTCCCTCTCCCCTGGCACCTGTGAAAATCTCTACCCATCAGTGGATTCCAAAGCTACTTTCTTCACAAACCGTTCCCTGATGCTCCCCACCATGCAGTCTCCCTCTCCTTTGTGTCTCTGACTGGTACAGAAAACATTTTGCCATGTATCATACTTATCGGACACTTGGCTTATCCTTTCAGTCGCCAGTAGGCTACAAACTCCTCGAAGGTAAGGACTATGACACAGTCATCTTTGTATCCATGACTTCCTAGGTCAGTAAACATGTGTTGAATTTTATTGGTTTAATTAAGAAGTTCAGAAAGAATAATATTCTATGGCTGTAGAATTGGGGACTATTAAACATTAGGGTTTTAAATTATGATTTTAAAATATACAAACCCGATAAATTTCTCAGCTTATGTTTGTAAGGCCTAGGAGAAAAGGCGGGGGGGGGGGGGGGGGGGTATTCCCCCCAAACACCAAGTGCCCAGCTCCACCCCCACTCCACTCACCTCCTCTGGAACATCAGCAGCTTCTCGGCCTTTAGGTCAGACAGGTCTAGCAAACCGCCCTTCTCTTTGACAGCCGGGTGTTTGCGCACAAGCAGCCAACCCACGTGGGAGAAGAAAAAGCCACGCCGGGCATTGTGGGGGTCAGCATCCGTCTCTGAAAACTTGTGGTGAACACGGTGATCTCGGGCCCATTCATAAGCATCATTCTGGAGGGACAGAGAAGAAGACTGTAGGCCTGAGAGATACCCTCTTAGGGGAATCCCAGTGGATGGACCTCTTCAAGAGCCCATAGCTCTCAGCCCACCCTCACAAAATATCCAGGAGCCGGGGATCCAAAGGAGGCTCACGGAGTAGCCTCCTTTTTCCCCCCAACTTGCCACTGAAGCTTAATTGGAAAAGCAACTTAAAGTCCCAGGACCACAGGAATAGGGCTGGTTGCTTCATAAAGATTATAGTGGGCGGGATGGAGATAGATCAAACAATCTCATCAGGAGAGAACATCGCAATTCCTCCAGCAAGAAATGCCGGAAAAGGCTTTCCTGGGGTGCCTAATCCCTGGGCAGGGAGAACAAGGCAGACAGCCTTGCATCCTCGGGCCCTGGTCAGTGGATAAAGCTGCAGGGAGCTTCACTCTGAAGCCTTGGCAAGAGACCGCGCACAACTCAGCAACACCAGGCACATAAATCGCGAGCGTGGCCACATTCCCAAATGACCTCTGGGACTCTCTCCATCCCTTACGCAATGTGTCAATATCTCTTTCTTACCTTCGTCCCAATATCAGGAGCCCTCAAGGTATAAAGGAACATGGCACAGATGCGTATGTAACCACGGTAACTACCTGGAATATTGCCACGAAGAAGGGAACACGGTCGGTGGCTTCTTTTTTCCCCTCTGCTCCAAGCTAAGCCCCACATCACAACCAATCGGTTGCCCATTGCCACCACTGAATAGCTGTGTGTTCCCTTTCCCCAGTTTCCTTCATTCTATCTCTGCTATAAACTTTCTGCCTCAACAAACCTCCATGCTTGACTTAGCCAGCCTGGCAGCCCAAGGCAGGACCACATGGTTGGTCTCCCTAGCCTCTCCGTGACATAATTTTCTTATCTAGAAAATGGGAATAATAGTACCCACCTCCGAAGAGAATTTAATGAGGGAATCTCTGCCAAGGGCTCAGAATAGTACCAGGCACATACTCAGCGCTGTCAAGTATTTGCTGTCATCGCCGGAAAACAACAGAATTCCTGAGCCTGTGAAATATCCACTTCAGTCCCCCCAAGGTGGAGCCCAAAGCTATTCCCCTAAAATGGTGAGTCTACTGTCCAGTGCCTGCCCAGGAAATCAGCCGCATAAACTAAGGCTCCTGCCTTGTAGACCCTGAGGATGAAGGACCCCAACAGCCAGACTGTGTGGTAACAGAGGAACCTGAGGAATAGACAGGAATAAGTATTTCCTAGTTATCTCCTCTTCCTCTTTTCTAGACTCAGAAATGTGCTCATGCTTTATGGACCTACGGACTGGGCCTGCACCTGAGGTGACCACCGGAGAGAGGAAAGTGACATGGTTGTCCAGGCGTTGCTCCTCTGCAGGTGCTGACCTCCTCCATCCGCCCCTGGTCCCTGACAGAGTGGAGGGAAGGGCTGAGCAGAGCCGGCTTCCTACCTGGAATGCCATTGTGTTGGCGATGATCAAGAAGACCCGCAGGGGCAGCCGAGCTTTGTAGCTCCGGTGACTCCACAGGCGGTGGGCTCCTGCTGTTATACCCAGGGCACTGATGATGTAGTAGAAGAACCCTGCCAGGCGGACACAGTGAGAGGTCAATAATCTGGAAAAACATTCACACGTGGCTCTCTGTATGTTGGCTGTGTCTTCAGAGGCGTTGGGTGAGGATCTGCTTTTCCCGAAGTGCAGACACGCCTTGGCCTCTTGGGTCTCTCCCATTTTATTACTTGGGAAAAAAAAAAACCATCACCCCTCACCCTCTCTACCTAGGCATTGGAATAAGCTAAGAAGTTTCAGGAACTTTATTGATTTCAGAGGGGAACGGAGAGGGAGAGATAGAGACATCTATGATGAGAGAGAATCACTGATCGGTTGCTTCCTGTGTGCCACACACTGGGGATCAAGCCCACAACCCGGGCATGTGCCCCATCCAGGAATCGAACCGTGACCTCCTGGTTCATAGATTGGCACTCAACCACTGAGCCACGCCGGCCGGGCTGTTTCAGGAACTTTAGGAAGGCAGGACAGAGGAGAGAGAGCTTGCTACCCGGCCACTGGTCACTCTCAGTCATGAGGACTGTTTTCTCAAGTCCCATCTCCTCTGAACTTCAGCTAAGCTTCCCCCAGTTTTTAAGGACCACAGACCACTCCTACAGAGCTTAGGACCCATAGCAAGGGCGGTCTTAAACAGTTTAACAGTCAGTTCAGTCTGGGCGCTCATCAATCCAACGGGCTCTGGGTTCTAGAGGACACTCGGGGGCTCCGAACTATGGCTATTGACCAACTGGTACAAAGCATTAGCAGGCAGTGTGACCATATCAGGGGACATATGTGCCCTACACATAAGTCACATCTGCACAGCTTAGCTAAGAATTTTATATTCTCTGATTTTCTGGATCCTTTGAATGGCCTTTAATAGCCTCACTTTGCAGTTGAAGAAAAAGGCGCTCAGAGAGGTTGTGTTTAACTAGGGTCACAAGGCCAGTAAGCAATGGAGCCACAGTTTGAAACGAAAAGATCTGTCAACAAGTATTCATGTTCCAACTATACCATCCAGCTCCCCAGGATATGCACATAGTTCCTGCGTCTCTCCTTTGCCACACCCCTCTGTCAGCTCCTACTCTCTCAGGCAAGGCTAATTTTAGATGATGGTGGGATATGCTCAGAGCTGTTGGTGGAACACCCCAACGCTGTCCTCCCTCACCTTCCTGGAGGCCTGCCAGCTCAGGAGGTGCCAGCTATAATCTCTAACTGGGCAGTGGGTTGCTGGGTATACCCATCTTCCTCTGTTCAGTAGCTCTAGGAGGCAGGGGCTGAGTGAGGCCTTGGTAGAGCAGTTGACTGTTGACAATGTTTCATTCCCAGGGATACAGCTCAAAACAATGGGTCCTCAGTGGCCACAGAATTTAGTTGCAGTTGGAGACACCACACATTGTAACAAATTGTCCTGTGTTCTTCTCCAGGCACACATAGCCGTTTCCTAAACAGCCCCCCCCTCCCCCCCCCATCTTCCTCCACCCTATCCTATTCCTCCTACAGGATCCCATGGAGAGCATGGAGCCAGAGTCCATCCCAATGAAAGTTCTGTCTCTAATCCCTTTGCTACATGAGTTGCTGGCCTTAAGCCATGTGACTATATCCTCCCAGTTGCAAAATCTACCTGCATCGGCAGCTGGAAGAATGACAGTTGAGCCACAACCACACGAATCAACAAGGAAGAAGAGAAATGGCTTTGGGCAAGGAAATAGAAGAACTTGGCTCAGAATGAAGAAAGCTACTAGGGTTGTTTCATGCCACAGATGACCCTGTGAGTTAACTCAGAAAGCACTTAAGATCCCAGCGTTAACAGGGGAATTGGGAAAAGAATCCAAGCACTCTAGTCTAGTGCCTTTTCTATCAGCAGCTCTCAGCCTGTCAGCTAGAAGGAGGCTCATTCTCTACTAGTCTCCAAATTGATGGTTAAGCAAAATCTCATAGCTTTGGCCCTAAGAGAAGGGAAATTTTGCCCCTCGGCCCTCAGTGTTGCCAGAGATATGCCTTCAGGCTGCCCCTGAGGGCCCTTGTGGGAGATTCTCTAAATTGCTCAGTCACAAGAAATGCTGTAATCACAACCAGTTGCCACTTTAAGGCTGAGGCCGAGCTCCTAAACCAGGGGTGGGCAAACTTTTTGACTCGAGGGCCACAATGGGTTTAAACTGGACCGGAGGGCCGGAACAAAAGCATGGATGGAGTGTTTGTGTGAACTAATATAAATTCAAAGTAAACATCATTACATAAAAGGGTACGGTCTTTTTTTTTTTTTTTAGTTTTATTCATTTCAAACTGGCCGTAGTTTGCCCACGGCTGTTAAACTCTAAAAGTGGGGCCCCTGATGGTCCCTCTCTCTTTCTTGTTTCTTAAAACAGAGGATTTCTGTTACCCCCATACCAGGATGGTTATCAGTCAGCTAAGCCATCCGCCACAAGGCCCAGGGAAAGGAGTATAAAAGGTCACCGTCCAGTCTCTGTGTGCCACATTTCTCTGCCCACAGGCACATGGGCAGGGCACAGGAAGGTAGTGGGCACAGCCTTGGATTGGGGATCGCACTCTGCCCCCTGCTCCAGCAGCCAAGGGTGGGGAGCAAGCAGAAGCAGTCTGGCCAAACTCTGGCCTTATCCAGGCCTACAGGGAGTGCTGAGGCTGGAGGGGACTCCTCTTTTGGGTAGGAGGGCAGAGAACTGAAGTTTGGCTGGGATCTCAGAGGGGCTAGAGAACAGATGTGCCCCTCCCCCACAAAGAGAAGAGCCTTCTGGTCTGCAGAAGAACTGGTCCTGCGCCTGCGCAGCCTCAGCAATGAGACACCTGTAACCTAAGGAGCACCACCTTCCTGACCCTAAAAAAGTACTGTTGTCCCAGTTTGTACCGGGAAGGATGGAGATCCTGAGAGAAGGGGTCTACCCAGTTGCCTTTCACTGTCTGAGGCACTGAGAGGATTTCCCAACACGAAGCTCTAGGGATCCCACCACCTTTAGACGTAGGAGGTTCTAGGAGAATCAGCTAACACTTGGCCGACTAGCCCTTCTACATAACTATCCGCCAAGAGTGCAGCTCTCAGCCAGCACCCCACAGCCGAGACTCCTCCGGAAACCCTAACCACCCTGGGAGAGTGGCCGTGTGGGGCCCCTGGGTCCTTAGAGTTCCCTAGTCTCCCCCCCTAACTCAGGCTTATGGTGGCAGAGGTGAAAATGCCTGCAAAGCGCATGTGTGTTGGCAGGGGGCAGGGCCCTGCTATCAGCTCATACCCATGGGTCCCTGAAAAAGCTGAGCTAAGGGCAGGTCAGGGACGGATTTGGGACCTGCCTCCCTCACTGCAGCAGCCTCAAGGCCGGGGCTGGTTGGGGCTCTTTTCTGGCCTGGCCTGGCCGTCCAGGCAAGGGGCGACCTCCTGGCATCAGGGGCCAGGAGCTGAGCAGGCTAGGTGGGGAGTGGGACATGAAACGTTGCTCCCACCTTATTTCCATCAAAGGACTTTTTCCCCTGAGTGGTGCATACAGTGCCGGGAGACCTGCGGGGAGGCGCAGAGCACCACACCTGTTTAACTCGGTTCCTACAGGAGCTTCATCTTTCTCTCTAACAAGAGGCTGGTGGGCCAAGGGTCAGGGCAAACACTTTTGCGGGTAACCACCTCTCGGTTCCTCCCTCTCCCACTCTCTTCCTGAGCAGTTGCTCTCTCTGTCCCCACGACTGTGCTCAGCATATACCCCTGAAACCACTGGTCTCATCCCATGCTCCCAGCGAGGGGCCTTGATTCTTTGGTGGATGGCGGGGCTGGGACAAGCAGCCCAGCAAATGGCTTGAAACAGAAAAGCTCTTTCAGGGGAAGCTGCCTCTCTGGCACAGGTGTATCCACTTCAAAGCCTGCAGCACGTGGTCTCAGGGCTCCCTCCCCAGCACCCACGTGAAAAGACCCCCCCAGCCTGGCCACTCCGGCTGCCCAGTCCCCCTAGCCTCTGCTCCCAGTCCACTCAGCCTCTGGGAAACTGTAGGGGCCGGTCCTTTCGATCCAGGTAAGCTCCCATCTTATTAAAGGGAGGAGAGAACCTGGCGTCCCGGGTCAGGAGGTCAAGAAACACTCTTACCCCAGAGCCAGGTGTAGACCTTGCAGGTGGGGATCAGTACGATCCCATACAGGGCGCCCAAGTGTAGCAGAGACATAAGGATGATGTTCCGCCACACATACTCCAGCTTGGGCCTCGGGCCCTCCTTATCCTTGTAACTTGGGTCGTAGATGTCGTCTTTCATTTCGGGGCGGATGTCTTCCTCCGCGTGCAGGAGATGCTTCTCCGAGTTGCCTTCTCCATTCTGCACGATCCTGGCGGGAGGCTCTGTGATGGTGGTGGTGGTGGTGGTGGTGTAGGAGCTAGACATCTGGAAGGGAGAGGCAGCGGAGGGTCAGGAGAGCGGAGACGGCACGTGGAGGTAGCAGGGGCCACGTCACTCTCCAACCCAGCGGGAGGGAGAGTGAAGGATCGGCACGGACCCTGCCCCAACACCCAGGGTAGCGGAAGGCGGAGTCCACCCAGATGGAAGAAAAGGAAGTTCCCGGGAACGATGCAGATAGCCCGGGGAGGGGGTGAAGCCTCCAGGTGAAGGGGCTAGAGGAAGGAGAGAGACCCTTTCACCCAGTCGGACACACAAAGGAACTCCCGCAGGCACACAGACAGACGCAAGGGAGCCGGCACGACCCGGGTTTTCTTTTCAGCTTAAGAAACAAAAGTTCAGAAACCAAGTCCCCAAATTACAATGCAGATGCCCAACAAATGACGGCAGTTCAACTCGCAAAAGATGGCTCTGTCCCCGCGGGGATCTCAACTCCTCCATCCACGCGAGTCACCTAGGAGCCCGGCCAGCTCCGGCGACTCCGCGCTCCGGGAGCCAAGGAGCCAACGCCGGGCAACTCACCTCCTCCTGCAGCAAGTGGGCCGGCATCTGGGCTCTCGGGTGCCTGGGGTCGCTCTCCCCGGGCTGAGGCTGCGGCGTGGAGTGCGGGGCAGCCGGGGCAGCGGACAGATTTCAGTGGCTGAACCCGCGTTTGCGCTCGGATGGTGGCCGTGCGCGCTGGGTCGGTGCCGGTGCGCCTGCTGTGCGTGGAGCTCCCACGGCTGCGGATTTAAAGGCTGGAGCTGGCAGGGGATGAGCGCGTCCCGTATTTCCTCAGACGCCTTTTATTCGCTGCCAACAGGGGCAAAGTGCGCAGAGCTGGCTCGCGGTGGGACCCCCGCATGGGCGGGGAGGGGAGGAGACAGAGGCGAGGCGTGCTAGGGGCCGGACCCGCAAAAACTGGATGCTGCAGACATACCGCGGCTCGGCCGCCGCAGCGCCAGCCCCCGGGGAAATGCTAATGGGCTTCTGTAGACTCTGGAGCGCCATTGGCCAAAGGGAATTTGGTGCCACCTCGTCCTGCCGTTGCCATTGGCTCGGCGCAATCTGCTGTTCCCTCTGCCGCGAGCTCCTCGCTCCCCCTCCCATCCCTTTCTTCTCCGCTTCTCTTCCTCCGGCCGCCCGGCCTCCCGGCCCGGCACCCCGCGGCCTCGGAGGCGCTGGGGAGCTTTCTCTCTGGAAGGGACCCCGTCCGGGAGCGGGGGGGTGGGTACCCGCCCAGGCCTGGCCCCCCAGCACTTCGCGAACGGAGGGGCCCTGGGGAAGTTTCACAGGAATCAGTAGAGAAGCCGTGGGGGTGATCACTACGCACAACTGCATCCTGCTCTCCCTCCCCTTCCCAGGGACGCGCGGGGAGAGAAGACGTGGCTTTAGTCGTGGGGTTGGGGTCGCAGGAGGGAGGCCGGTGCAGCCCGCCCCTCCCTAGCGAGCGCGGGGGGGCCGGATCAGCCGCGGAACGGCGGCCCCGCCCCGCCCACCGGCTCGGGGAGGCTACCCCGGGGCCGCGGGACCCGCCGAGTCTGGGGCGGGCGGTGGAGCAGACGCTCGCCCATCCCCGTATGTGCGGACCTGCACGCGCGCACGAGGTTCCGCCGTTGGCACGCCCCGCAGGGTGGGTCACCGCCAGGCACCCGGGAGCCATCCCACCCCTAAGTCCACGCCTACGGACCGCGAGCGGGTCAGGTGGGGTGGGGTGGGGGTGGGGGATGTTTTGGAGATTCTTCAGATAGTCCGGGTGTAATTTCCTTACTGGGAAACAGGCAGGAAGCATAGACGTGTGCTTGCCCCCAAAGCAGGAGGAAGGGTTATGTGCAGCCAGAATAGCTAACAGGTATGGGATCATTACCGCAAGCCAGTTCACAAGAGTCATTTTCTTTCATCCTCACTGTGACCCTATGAGGTGGCTAGTCCATATTCCCTTTTGCAGGTGAGAAAAGAGGCGGGGAGATTAAAATGAGTTAGGAGCTGAGCCCAGAAGCGTGATGATGGAGTGCGAACTCTGTTTCCCTGTGCAGAAGCCTGGGTTCTTGAGCTGCTCCGACCTCACTGACGGCACATGCCCCTCATGTCTTTCCTAGGCTGGTGGGAGCCTCAAGAGAAAGCTGGGCGTTCTCCCAGCCTCCTTCCAGGGCTGTGCCTCCCCAAACACTAGCCCAGGATCCTTCTGGGAAGAAGGGAAAGTAAGGACTTGTGTGCCAACAATGGCTTCTCAGGAAGATGGGCACCTGGGATTGCCTGGGAGGAAAACTGAGAAGCTTCTTGTTGGCCACTGGTCTCAGGGTTGTTGTCCCCTTATTTATGCATCATTGGTTGATTCTTGTACATACCCTGACCAGGGATCGAACCCCAAACCTTGGCATATCAGGACAATCCTCTAACCAACTCAGCTACCCGGCCAGGGCCAGTGCAGGAGTGTTGAATGAGATAGATATGGACAGCTTGTCTTCTCATGGCTCAGAAATGCTTGGCATGTGGAAGAGAAATCCACTGCTTTTCAGACTCTCTCGGCATGTTTGATTTTACCTAATTCCCCTACCAACGACAGGGTTACTCTTCTAGGGAGAAGACTCACTGTTTCTTTTGGGGTGTGCTTTTAACTGTGGCCGAAGGTGGCTTTGCCATAGAGACGAGCTTTCTTTCTCTTTAACTGCCTAAGTATATTTGACCTTGCTTCCTCCAGACCCTGAACTTCATCAGGGAACAATCTGAAAACCTCAAGGTTTCCTGGAAACTGCTCTCCTCACCCTTAAACTCTGACAGATACTATGGCTGGTATTGCTTAGTGCTGCTGTTAGTACTTAAGCCAGGAGCTGGTAATAATCCAGTTTCTGCCAGAGAAAGGGGAGGCCTGCCAAGACAAAAATGCTGAAGTGGAGTATTTTATTCCTCTCTAAAGATAAGAGGCTACCCTGTGGGACAAACTTTGGGAGTCTAGAGAAGGTCTGCCTTGGGAACAGAGTTTCAGGGGAAAATGGTCAGAGCCATCTCACTGTTGATAACTATGACAGAAAGGAGGTGACCGGTGTCTTAGCGTGTGTTCCCGAAGTTCATCCAGGGCATGTCACATGGCTATGAATGTGCCACACATTACTCTAAGACTCTCAGTAACTTGCTGTTGCCCACGGAATATGCTGCCCGGTACAAGTAATGTGGGGAAGCATGAGCCTTGATATCAAGAAGTATTAGGCCTGCCCTAGCTAGTTTGGCTCAGTGGATAAAGCGTCGGCCTGCGGACTGAAATCAATAAAAATGTATATATAGTCCAGCCAGCGTGGCTCAGTGGTTGAGCATCGACATATGAACCAGGAGGTCAGGGTTTGATTCCTGGTTGAGGCATATGCCTGGGTTGCGGGCTAGATCCCCAGTGTGGGGCATGCAGGGGGAAGCCGATCAATGATTCTCTCTCATCATTGATGTTTCTTTCTATCTCTCTCTCACTCCCCCTTCCTCTCTGAAGTCAATAAAAATATATGTTTTAAAAAAGTAAAAATATATAAAAAAGAGATATTAGGCCAATGGCAAAGTGGAAGTTGTAAATAAGTGTGTGATCGATATTTGTATGCCATAGAATTTCCATATAAGAGGATAGACATTTTAATATATAAGTACAACTATGCTTGGGAGATGGAGATTGGAATGATAAACCTTCCTCTATGAAAAGAGGTACGAGGCACCATGGCAATTTTTAAACTTCATTTTGATTCTTGAACTCAAAAGAGCGTGAAGAAACAGAGCCCCTTTAGCCATCTTACGTGAATAAGGTGCCAACAGCAAGAAGTCACAGAAAGCCATCTCCCTGTTCATTCAGCCTGTCTCAAGTGTTTCTGGGCTTGGCTACTATAGGCAAGGGATGGCTCACCCTCAGGACAGGGCCGGAAATGCAAATCAGTGCTTGGGAAAGTTCTCTGGTTCACCCCGTTTCTCTGGGTCTCCTGGTGCTTTGAGCCTGAAAATGCCGAGGCCCTCCTGTCCGGCATAGCCAGGTAACGTAATGGACCCAGCCGATATTTCACTGCATCCGTTTGCCAGAATGATAATGGTTTCTCAGCCATAGCCTTGGGAAATTGCCACTACTTCTTAACACGAACCAGATGAAAACATAATTTAGAGTGGACCGATACAGTGTTTGCGTTTGTTTCAGCTACCACTCCCTTTTTCTTTATGAGTATAAAAAAAATGAGAAGTGCTTATGCTGAGGGGGAAAGCTACCTCGCATTAATCGTATGAGAATATTTCCACTGTTTCCTGACCTGGGAATCGTTTCTCCTTGGAGCAGCGATCACTTCCACTCCTGAGGCCCTGGTGATACTATGGCTCTCAAGTGACAGTGGTCAAACCAACACACTAACTTGTATTCTACGTCTGTTTCTTGGTCAAAGGGAAGAAAATGAAACATATTGTCCCAACAGTTATCACAACAAACAGCCATTATGGGTAACAGGCTCATGCAGACTGATAAACTTAGCCGAAACCCAGAATGATAAGGGGGCAAAGGGACTGAAAGGGCACTTCATAAGAGAAGACAGATAGATGGCAAACAAACACTTAAACTTTACTAATTATTCAGTACAAAATAACAATGATATGTAACTCATCTTTGGTAGGAGGGTAAGTTGATTCACAAACATATTCACAACATTATTTACAATATTAAAATAATTACAATTAAAAAAAAATAATTTACAATATTAAAATAATAAAATAAAACCCATAAACTATGATACAGGTTTGTGCTTGTCTTAAATATATTTTTATTGATTTCAGAGAGAAGAGAGAAGGACAGAGAGAGAGAGACACTTCAATGATGAGAGAGAATCATTAATTGGCTGCCTCCTGCACTGGGATCGAGCCCACAACCCAGGCATGTGCCCTTGACTGGAATCGAACCCGGGATGCTTAAGCCTGCAGGCTGACGTTCTATCCACTAAGCTAGGGCTGTTTGTTTGTTTGTTTGTTTTTATTATTGGTAGTATTATAGATGTTTCCCATTTTCTCCCTTTTTGTTCCCCTCCACCCAAACCCTGCCCCAACCCAGCCTTTCCCATGCTACTGTCTGCGTCCATGGGTTTGCTCGTATGCATATATGTTCTTTGGTTAATCTCTTTCTATCCCTTCCCACCCCACACCCTCACTGAGATCTGTTATTTTGTTCTATGCATCCATATCTCTGGATCTATTTTGCTCATCAGTTTATTTTGTTCCTTAGATTCCACATAAAAGTGAGATCATATAACATTTGTCTTTCTCTAACTGGCTTATTTCGCTTTGCATAATTGTCTCTAGGTCCATCCAGGCTGTCTCAAAGAATAAGAGCTCCTCTTTTACAGCCCCATAATATTCCATTGTGTAGATGTACCACAGCTTTTTTATCCACTCACCTGCTGATGGGCACTTGGGCTGTTTCCAGATCTTAGCTATTGTAAATTGTGCTGCTCTGAACATAGGGGTGCATATATCCTTTCTGATCGGTGTTTCTGATTTCTTGGGATATATTCCTAGAAGTGGGATTACTGGGTCAAATGGAAGTTCCATTTTTAATTTTTTGAGGAAACTCCACACTTTTTCCACAGTGGCTGCACCAGTCTGCATTCCCACCAGCAATGTACTAGGGTTTCTTTTTCTCCACATCCTCGCCAGCACTTGTAGTTTGTTGATTTATTGATGGCAACCATCCTAGCAGGTATGAGGTGATACCTCATTCTAGTTTTAATTTGCATCTCTTGGATGATTAGTGACATGGAACTTTTTTTCATATGCCTATTGGCTATCTGTATGTCCTCTTTGGAGAAGTGCCTATTCTGGTCTTTTGCCCATTTATTAATTGGATTGTTTGTCTTCCTGGTGTTGAATTGTATGAATTCTTTGTGTATTTTGAAAATTAACCCCTTATCAGATGTATTATTGGCAAATATGTTCTCCTAGACCAGGGGTGGGCAAACTTTTTGACTCGAG